CAGACACTTATATTCCACATTCCATTACATTTTAAAACTTAAAATCCATAAAAGGAATGTTTAATTTTAAACAGGTTTTTAAGATAATAGTTGAAGCCTTGATAATATTTATTACTAGATAAGATAGTTTTAGTGTATATTGTGAAGTTATCTAAGGTCATTTGCAATTCATTAGAAATTGTTTTCATATGTATGGATAATGCTATATTATGTGCCTTAAATGTGTTACTATGAATTTGTATAAAAGAAGCAAGATTCATTACATTCATAGTACTGTTGATTCTTTATATCTTGGAGAGTCCATATTTGGGGAATATAGTAGAATAGAAAAGTAAAGAGAACTAGTATACCAGTGGCATTATTGTACTAGTCAACATATTAATACTAAAGGTGTCTTCTCAATCATAACTGGATAATTCAAGCTTTTCTATATAATCTTCAAGAAGTCAAAATACTGAAGGGTCATTGTGGTTTATATTTGTTACTGTATGTTGGTGAATTGACCACATCCTGACAGGAAGTGTATTAAGCAGGGACACAGATTATCTGATTTATTTAATCCTGGGTGTTTTTCAATTTTCTCACCTTTGAAAAAGGAGCAATGTACGCAGGCTCAGCATTTTCAATAAGACATGTAGTGACATTACCTCATCCCATGGGTGTGGTTCTTCATTGACATTTCATAAAGATAACAGGATGTGTGCCCAAGGTCCCTCCCAGGATGGGCAAAATCAAAGGTATATTACATTTTTTTTTCAAAATAAGTCAGAGAAGGACAAATAGCATATGATTTCACTCATATTTGGAATTTAAGAAACAAAACATGAACATAGGGGAGGGGCAATAAAAGAAAGGGAAGCAAACCATAAGAGACTCTTAACTAGAGAATAAACTGGGGGTTGATGGAGGGAAGGTGGACGGGTGATGGGTTAAATGGGTGATGAGTATTAAGGAGGGCATTGTGATGAGCACGGGTGTTATATGTAAGTAATGAATCACTAAATTCTACTCCCGAAAACAATATTACACTATAAGTTAACTATAAATAAAAGTTTGAAAAGGTATATATTGTCTATATGTCACAGACACATTCCCTTTGCCTTATGTCTATGCTTCTGAAAAATGACATGGGATCATGGTATCAGCAGGTTAGGAGGGAGTTTCCTCAACTTTTCATTTACCATCTGTCCTCATGGTCTGTGTAAAAAAACAAAAACAAAAACAAAACAAAAAACCAATTTTTAAAATTACCATATAGGATTCTTTGTTTCACAATTAAAATGATAGTCTGTGGTGACTGTCAAGTGCACACAAATCCTGGTTTCATCATATATCATGTGGTATGTTATTTTCCCTCTGAAACTTCATACATTAACAGTGGATAATAATGATATTTTCTTGATAGAGTTGTGAGAATAATGTGTTACTGTGTATAAAACAGTGAAAAAATGGAGCATAAATATGTAAATTATAATTCTAAGTTATAATTATAATTTATAATGTATGTTTATAATACATTTAAAATAAAAATATTACCATAATTAGTAGTAATTGTGTCATTGTCCACTAGACTTCCAAGTTTATTCTACATCTTTTATGTAGCACGCCTTGCTGTTTCTCACATGACAAAAATGTGTTTATCATTTCTATCGTTGTCTTATTGTTATAGATTCTTGCAGGGTTGCTAGTTTAATTTTCGTCAAGTTTCATTTGTTTATACCTAGGAAAATTTTGAAAAGCATTAAACTCTTTTATACAAAGACTTAAATGAGTCATTAACATTGTTATTGTTGCAATTTCATAGGCAAAATAACTTAATGATTTTTTCTATAAAATTTTATTGAACTTCAATAAAGAATTCTTTAGACAAACACTAATATTTGGGAAATCATGAGTTAGATATTTAGAATTAGGTTTATTTTATTTCATATGTTCTGATTCAGAGATAAATAGAAATATGTACATGTCAAATTGTCATCACTACTTTTGAATATGTGATTTAAAAGTGGTATATGAAGTAACCTATTTGAAAAAGTTAAATTTATACACAGGGTATTATAATTTCTCAGCATCCGTATCCTGTTTTATAAAGGATATTGTTTTCACAGATCTCTTATTTATAATTTATTTTGACATGTTAATCATAAATTTTTTTTAAAGATTTATTTAATCATTTGAGAGAGCGAGAATGAGAGAGAGAGAGTACATGAGAGGGGGGAGGACCAGAGGGAGCCCAATGTGGGACTCGATCCCAGGACTCCGGAATCATGACCTGAGCTGAAGGCAGTTGCTTAACCAACTGAGCCACCCAGGCGCCCAATCATAAAATTTTTTAATGTTTTCATTTTCCTATGTAGAAATGCTTTCATTTACCAAAAATACAGGAAAATAAATGACACGGTTCCGAAGCTCTAAGAAAGAACATTTATAATTTTTCATTTTCATACATTTGGAAATCATATTTAATTCTTACATAAAATCAAACTTCCTAAATTTTACTAAAAATATTATTTTAAATTAATTTGAAAACAGCAAGAAGAGATTGGGGCAAACTGCTGCTGGAGAAGCTGTCTGCCCATCAATAGAACTAACGATTCCATCTTATGTTCTAAAATAAAATTTGCTGTATAGAAATGATTGCATTTGAAATTATTAGTATATTTGATTGCAACTACCAAACCGTGAAAAATGAGGCTTCCATTTGCTGTAAAAATAAATGAGGTGGCAATGCTTTGCTAACAAAACCACTTGAGTACCACAGTTCATAAGTATGCCTGGTACTATTAAGAGATGTCCTTGCTTATACTGTGAGCTGCCTTATGATGTGGTATTAAGCACTGCTTTATATCTACAGTGAGCATAAGCAGCTTGTTCTAGGATATAATAAAAATGAAGCCAGACTAGAGATCATATGGAAAAGTATACAGTAATCTTAACAACTAATTTCTTCTTAAAATCATGTTTTCCATTGCACTTGTAGAGCTATTGATAGTATTGTTTAACATCACCGTTTTCCTGTTAATATTTTAGTAAATTGTAAAAATAGAAAACAGTATAGAAAGTATGACATTCGGTTGGGATAATGTTTTTGCTTCTATATTAAACATAATATAAAGTAAATATTAAACATGCTATATGTTGCTTGTTGACACTAAAAATAGTTTTTATTTAAATTCCAGTTAACACAGTATAATATTAGTTTCAAGTGTAAAATATAGTGATTTGACACTTCCATACATCACCTGGTGCTCATCACAGCAAGTGCTCCCTTTAATCCTCATCAGCTGTTTCACCCAACCTCCCAGCCCCCCTACCCTCTCGTAGCCATCAGTTCTCTATAATTAAGAGTTTTGTCTTTTTTTTTCTTCTTTTTAAGATTTTATTTATTTATGGGACACCTGTGTGGTTCAGTCGGTTAAGCGTCTGCCTTTGGCTCAGGTCATGATCCCAGGGTCCTGGGATCGAGTCCCACATCAGGCTCTCTGCTCCACAGAGAGCCTGCTTCTCCCTCTGCCTCTGCATCTCTCTCTCTGTCTCTCACGAATGGATAAATAAAAAAAAAAATCTTAAAAAAAAAAGAATGAGGAAGACTTAAAAAAAAAAGATTTTATTTATTTATGAGGGAGAGAGCTATAGAGAGAGCACGAGTTTGGGGGGAGCGGGGAGCCCGATGTGGGATGATCCCAGGACCCTGGGACCATGACCTGAGCCAAAGGCAGACACTTAACCAACTGAGCCACCCAAGTGCCCCTGTTGTGATTTTAATTATAAAATTTACTCTTTTTTTCTTCTTCTTCAACACACTGACTATTGTATATAAAAGTTTAGGCAGAAATATCTGGGAAACTATTATACAAGAGTCCATATAACTTGGACATCTCATCAACTTTCGGACCATTTTACAATACTTAAAATTATTTTTTTTTTATTTGAGGAAGTCATATATTCTCAGAGCTGGAAAGAAACTTAGATGGCCCTATAACTGAATTTTCCAAATTATGTATGTGAAGAATCTCAAGTGGAGAAAACAAATATTTTGTCCCACTCTGTCTTTCTAATGTACTTAGTGGTGAAATTAGATTTAGAATCCACACCATCGAGCTCAAAGTCTAGAATATTTACATTGCATTTTGATCTTCAAACAATAAGACTTTAATTTTTAATAATGAAGGTATTAATACACACTCATAATAAATTTGGAATGTAATTGGCAGTGTATTTCTTACACTACATTAAATACCTAATATATTTAGAAATACTATAGCTCATTTACTTGATATACTTATTTCTTAATGATACAGATTTTATCAAAGTCCAAAAATGAGTAAATGTAAGTACGCCAAGCTCAGTTTGACACTGCAATGTTAAAATATTTAAAATTAAAAATATTTTTTTCTATTATCCTTTCTTTGTAAGTATTACCTCACCCATAGGCATTCACAATGGCCCACTGTGTTATAAAGTTAAAATGTCTAATACAGGTACTTATTTCTTATCTCATCCTTTTTATATACATGTTTGTATATGCTTTATAATGTAGCAGGTGAATACATTTCCATATTATATAAATCCAGTTATTTACTTATTCATACATCCAGTAATTATTTATGAATGTGCAAACACTCTTCTGTGCCCTTAGAATCTATTAGTGAAAAAAACTTCAAACGATCTCTGTGTTCAACATTCTGGAAAGGCAGAGAGTAAAAATAGTGTAATAAATAATACAGTATAAATATAAAATCATTTGTTATCTAACAAACTATAAGGTTATAAATGTTATGGAAAAATTAGCATAAATAGCACAAGTGAACTGAGAGAGTAAAATCCAAGGTAGTTGGGTTGGCATCATTAAGAAAGTGGTATTTGAGTAAAAAGGTCAAGGAGGTGAAGCTGGAGAAAAGGTTATATGGAGAAAGAACATTCCAGGTGGAGGAAACAGAACAAAGATTATATGGCAGGATAATGCCTGCTGTGTTCTAGAATCAGCAGAATCAGTGTCGCTATGGTAGAGGGACTCTGGAAGAGAGGAAGGAGATAAGGTTAGAGAGGGTTTAAAGGTAGATCCATATTGCATAGACTGAGATATCATAGTTGAGGTGATTTGTGAACCTTGAAAATAATTCATATATGTGTTGGGAAAGATAGGTATACAGAATGGTTTCAAGTTTTGCAACTGAGCAACTGGGAGGCTAAAGTTATCATTGCTTATGAAGGGGAAGACGACAGATTGAGTTTGAGGTCAGGATGTTGTAACATAAGAAGTTCAGCTTTAGACATTTTAATTTTGAGATGTTAATTTTACCTCCAAGTTTCTATGCAAAACATGTTTTGTGGTATAAGATTTCAGAAGTTGGGAGATAGGCCAGGGCTTGGAGATATAATTTTGGGGAAATCAACACATAGATAATATTTAAATCTTAGAAGCAGGATGAAATCCCCAGAGGACAGGGCAAAAAAACAGAAGAATGAGTACTAAACCCTGGAATTTTCCAATCATAACAGGTTGGGAAGAAACTGAAAAGGTGAGACAGAACAGTGTGGTGTGCTAGAAGTAAAATGGGGAAAGTGTATAAAATGAGTGGGTTGATTTATGTGGCATATAATGGTCTTTGATGAACTTGACAGGAACAGTTTTGGTGAAACCATATGGATAAAGATGGATTAGACAAGAGAAGGTAAAAAGAAGCATTGTAGACATCAGATAGAGCCAGTTCTTTCAAGAATTTTTAATCGAGCGGGGGCAGAGAGAAAAGGGGTGGCATCTAGAAGACAAATGAAATCAGGTGTTATTAAAATGGTAGAACAAACATGTCTTTATATGCTAATGGGGGGGCGCCTGTGTGGCTCAGTTGTTAAGCATCTCTGCCTTTGGCTCAGGTCATGATCCCAGGGTCCTGGGATCGAGCCCCGCATCGGGCTCCCTGCTCAACGGGAAGCCTGCTTCTCCCTCTCCCACTCCCCCTGCTTGTGTTCCCTCTCTCGCTGTGTCTCTCTCTGTCGAATAAATAAATAAAATCTTTAAAAAAAATAAAAAAGTATACGCTAATGGGAATGATTCAGTTAAGAGGAAAATAAATGATGTAGAAAAGTAACGGAAGATTTGTGAGACTGATGACCTCCAGTAAAAGAAAAAGAACGAATATATATATATATATATATATATATATATATATATGTAAAATATATATATTTATTTTGGCCATATGGATTTATGTCAATAGCTTTTTAACTGGTGTTTCAGATTCTACCCTATTCTTCACACTCATAAAAAGAATTATTCTTATAAAATGCAAGTCATTCCACATCTCTGTTCCAAATTTCCCAGTGGTTTCCTGTTTCCTTCAGGACAAATATATATATTATATCTATATTTGAAAGGACCTGACTGAGATAGGAAAATGAACAGTTAACATATTGTAGCAGATCTGGAAGCAGAAAATAAAGGTATGGATACTAGTAGGTGCGTCATCGAGTGCTGAGAATACGTGGAGTTCCCTAATTACTACATTTTTTTCAGTGAAGTATGAGCAAAGTTATAAATTAAGAAGGTGCACAGAGGAAGAGTAGAAGTTTGAAGAAAGAGAAGGTGTGAAATAGTTGTCAAGAAGGGGAGAGTAAAAAAGCAAAGGAACTAATTGCTCAATATCAGTACAAAATTAGATGTGGTAAGTTTAAAGTATAACTTGTGGGCTTGATCATCTTTCTTTGGGGTTGTTCCCTCAAAAGTTTTCAATGGTGCCACATATTTGGCAATTGTCAATCTAAATCATCTGGCATTTGCTTTCTCTTATGTTAAGCGCCTATCATAGCATCTGTCACTTTAATTTTTAACATTTAGTAAAGATCTTTCTTCCTTTCTTTAGAGAAGAAAATCTCTAATAATTTCCTATCAATGATATTTAAGACACAATTATAGGCTAATAGAAAGCTCACCCAAATGCTACATCTTAACTGATTGACACATTTTGACCAATGCCTAGTAGCAGTAATTTTATATTTCATAAATTGAAATTATTTTTAGGTTTGAAAAGAAAGGTTAAAATATATCAATCAAATTGTAGTAGTAACTTATGTATTGCTTATAATATTACTTTGAAATAGCGTAAATTTATGTTGGTGTTTAACTTTTGTTATTTTAATTATTACTGGGGAAATTTCCATCATCCAAGCTATCAAAAGTGTTAGGATCATTTCTGCCATGACTTTGACCTTCCTTCACACAGCCCCACCTCAGTCTATACATACATATTTTCTTTGCTAAGTAAATACCATTAATTTCATCACAGAAAAATATTTAAGTATAAAAATTCCAATTCTTGAGATCTTCCTAGTGCTAACAAAAGCTATATTTGAAGAATATTGTCACTTACTTTGTATTAAACAATATATCTGATAGTCTTTGTTTTAGTCACTATAGTAATTAGAGAAAATGAGGCTGTTCAATTATTAATAATTTTTAGAAGCAACAGTATTTTAGGGGGCGGAGCAGGATGGCAGAGGAGTAGGAGACCTGGATTTCATCTGATCTCAGGAATTCAGCTGGATAGGGATCAAACCATTCTGAACACCTACGAACGCAACAGGAGATCGAAGAAAAGAATAGCAACAACTCTGAAGAGAAAAGCGACCACTTTCTGGAAGGTAGGACGTGCGGAGAAGTGAATCCGAGGCGATATTCGGGAGGATAGATGACGGGGGAGGGGGCCTCCCTCGGCCACTTCTGGCAAGTGATAGAGCCATGGAACACAAAATCAGAACTTTTAGAAGTTGGCTCCACTGAGGGACATCGCTCCAGTGGCTAAGCTGGGGGTGGAACCCTCGCGGGACAGTGTGGTCTCAGGACCCTTGGTGTCACAGAAAGACCGGGGGTGCCTGAGTGCGGCAGAGCTCCCAGGTATCGGAGCGGGGAAGCCGGCTGCAAAGACAGAGCCGAGGAGCGGGCTCTCAGCTTGGGGTTGCCATAAACTGTGATCGGGAACAGTCAGGCCACTGCTCCTCCAGCAGGGACACAACAAGCGGCAGATCCGGGGAGACTCCTCTTCCTCCCCTGGGAGGAGCAGCGCAAGAGCATGCTGTGGGGATCTGCTGGGTTTGGAGACTCCCCACTGAGTGGGTGCCAGAGATAGAAAGGCTTGGTCACAGGCTGGGTGAGCACAGAGTGAGGCCGGAGACCAGGGAGACAGGAATGATTGATTGCTTTTCTCTGGGGGCACACTGAGGAGCGGGGCCCTGAGTTCTTAGCTCCTCTGGGGCATATTGGGAGGCCACCATTTTCATTCTCATCCTCCAAGGCTGTACCGAAAGTTTGCAGGGAACAAAAGGTCCCAAGAGCAAACCCCGAGATGATAACTTAGCCTGGACGGACAAGGGAGGGGCAATTCCACCTCGGAAAGACATTTGGTAACCACGGCAACAGGCCCCTCCCCCAGAAGATCAGCAAGAACAGCCAGCAAGCCAAGACCAAGTTTACCGATCAATGAGAATGGCAGAACTCCAGCGCTAGGGGAATACAACACATAAAATTCATGGCTTTTTTCCCATATTTCTTTAGTCTTTCAAGGTTAATTTTTTTAACTGTCTTTTTTTTTTTTGAAATTTTCTTTTTCCCTTTTTCATCCAACATCTTTACAATCCCCTTTTTAAAAAAACATTTTTATTTTTCATTTTTAGAGTCATATTCTCTCCTTTCATAGTAGTTACCCTTATTTTTAGCATATATATATAAGTTGTTCTCTCTTTAAAATTTTGAGATACAGTTTCTTATAACAGATCAAAATATACCCTAAATCTCTAGTATATGGCTTTTTTCTAGACTCCTGCCTGATCACATTCTCTCCTTTTTTTTTTCTTTCTTTCTTTCTTTCTTTCTTTCTTTCTTTCTTTCTTTCTTTCTTTCTTTCTTTCTTTCTTTCTTTTAAATCCTCTTCTTTCTTTTTTCAGAAAACTTCCTATCAATTCCTTTTATAAAACTTTTAATAATTTTCATCTTTACAGTCATATTCCATCCCTTCATTGTATCAACCGTTATTTTGTACATATATAAGTCTTTCTTTCTTTAAAATATTGGGAGGCACTTTCTTCTAACAGACACCAAAATACACACAAAATCTAGCATGTGGCACTGATCTATGCACCAGCCTGAACATATTTGATCATATTTAATTTTTTGTTTTGCTATGTTTTTATTTGTTTTTATCTTTTTTTTTCTCTTTCTTTTTTCTTTCTTTCCATTTCTTTTCCCCTGGATTCAGGTCTTTTCTGATTTGTTTAGAGTATATTTTTCTTAGGACATTGTTACCCTGTTAGCATTTTATTCTCTCATTCATCTATTCTCCTCTGGACAAAATGACAAGATGGAAAAAATCACCCCAACAAAAAGAACAAAAGATAGTACCATCTGCCAGAGACCTACTCAATACTGACATTAGTACGATGTCAGACCTAGAGTTCAGAATCATGACTTTAAAGATACTAGTTGGGCTTGAGAAAACCATGGAAGTTATTAGAGAAATGCTTTCAGGATAAATAAAAGAACTAAAATCTAACCAAGTTGAAATCAAAAAGGCTATTAATCAGGTGCAGTCAAAAATGGGGGCACTAACTGCTAGGATAAATGAGGCAGAAGAGAGAATCAGTGATATAGAAGACCAAATCATGGAAAATAAAGAGGCTGAAAAAAGAGATAAACAACTACAGGATCACGAGGGAAGAATTCGAGAGATAAGTGATACCAAAAGATGAAACAATATTAGAATAATTGGGATCCCAGAAGAAGAAGAAAGAGAGGGGCAGAAGGTATATTGGAACAAATTATAACAGAGAACTTCCCTAATGTGGGGAAGGAAACAGGCATCAAAATCCAGGAGGCACAGAGAACCCCTCTCAAATCAATAAAAATAGGACAACACCCTGACATCTACTAGTAAAACTTACGAGTCTCAGAGACAAAGAGAAAATCCTGAAAGCAGCTCAGGAGAAGAGATATGTAACCTATAATGGCAGAAATATTAGATTGGCACCAGACCTATCCACAGAGACCTGGCAGGCCAGAAAGGACAGGCATGATATATTCAGAGCACTATATGAGAAAAATATGCAGCCAAGAATACTATATCCAGCTAGGCTGTCATTGAAAATAGAAGGAGAGATAAAAACTTCCAGGACAAAGAAAAACTAAAGGAATTTGCAAACACAAAAGCAGCTCTACAAGAAATATTGAAAGGGGTCCTCTAAGCAAAGAGAAAGCCTAAAAGCAGCATAGACCAGAAAGGAAGAGAGACAATATACAGTAACAGTCACCTTACAGGCAATACAATGGCACTAAATTCATACCTTTCAATAGTTACCCTGAATGTAAATGGGCTAAATGCCCCAATCAAAAGACATAGGTATCAGATTGGATTAAAAAACAAGACCCATTGATATGCTGTCTGCAAGAGACTCATTTTAGACCAAAGACACCCCCAGATTGAAAGTGAGGGGGTGGAAAACCATTTACCATGCTAATGGACACCAGAAGAAAGCTGGGGTGGCAATCCTTATATCAGACAAACTGGATTTTAAAACAAAGACTGTAATAAAAGATGAGGAAGGACACTATATCCTACTTAATGGGTCTATCCAACAAGAAGATCTAAAAATTGTAAATATCTATGCCCCTAACATGGGAACTGCCAATTATATAAGGCAATTAATAAAAAAGCAAAGAAACACATTGACAGCAATACAATAATAGTGGGGGACTTTAACACCCCCCTAACTGAAATGGACAGATCATCTAAGCAAAGGATCAACAAGGAAATAAAGACTTTAAATGACACACTGGACCAAATGGACTTCACAGACATATTCAGAACATTCCATCCCAAAGCAATGGAATACACATTGTTCTCTAGTGCCCATGAGACATTCTCCAGAATTGATCACATCCTTGGTCACAAATCAAGTCTCAACCAGTACCAAAAGATTGGGATTATTCCATGCATATTTTCAGACCACAATGCTTTGAAATTAGAACTCAATCACAAGAGAAAGTTGGAAAGAACTCAAATATATGGAGGCTTAAGAGCATCCTATTAGAGAATGAATGTGTCAACCAGGAAAATAAATAGCAATACAAGCCTTTCTCAAGAAACAAGAAAGGTCTCAAATACAAAACCTAACCCTACACCTAAAGGAGCTAGAGAAAAAATAGCAAATAAAGCCTAAACCCAGCAGGAGAAGGGAAATAATAAAGATCAGAGCAGAAATCAATGAAATGAAAACCAAAAGAACAATAGAACTGATAAACGAAACTAGGAGCTTGTTCTTTGAATTAATAAGATTGATAAACCCCTAAACAGACTTATCAAAAAGAAAAGAGAAATGACACAAATCAACAAAATCATGAATGAAAGAGGAGAGATCACAACCAACACCAAAGAAATAGAAACAATTATAAGAACATATTATGAACAACTATATGCCAGCAAATTAGATAACCTGGAAGAAATGGATGCATTCCTAGAGATGTATCAACTACCAAAACTGAACCAGGAAGAAATAGAAAACCTGAACAGACCTATAACCACTAAGGAAATTGAAGCAATCATCAAAAACCTCCCAACAAACAAAAGCCCAGGGCCAGATGGCTTCCCAGGGGAA